GTCTTGATTCTCATCACAAATTTTACAGGACGCTGATTTGTATTGTTTAAAAATGTTATGTATATGAGGCTCGATTACCAATGCTAGACTAATAATGATTGGGGTTGTGCCAGAGACAGAATTGGAGGACTGTGGAGTTTTTCTGATGATTGTTGGACTAAATCTGATTGCATAGATAGAATGGGCAAAGTTATGTAAAGATTTGAAAACTCATGAGAATTTTCAAATCAAAGCATTTCAATATCTAAACTCTCTGAACAAATCCCCTGTCACAAACACTGGCCAAAATCTTAACTTTGAATTGCAGGTATCCAATGTGCAACGCATAAGTGACCAATGAAATTATTATACATTAAGATATTCTTTTGTTTTAACCTATAAACCTACATGAGGATTTGGTATGTTAGCATGCGATAACACTAAATATAGTAAGCAATTACTGCAAATGGAACAATGATTAGATTCTTACATGTGCAATTCTATGGGAACAAAATGTGGAAAAGAAAGTTACCAGATTTTGTGGCAAAAAGTTTGCATACTGTTATAGTTTTGAAAAGTGTAGAATGTTCATATAAAAACACAAAATTGTAACAGCTTGTATGTCATTTGTCAATCTTGCTGCAGAACTTGTGATAGAGAATAATTCAGGAATTTCTGTTTATAATGGCTCATGATTGACGGTATATTTTCAATCTCCTGTGAATACAGTGAAGGCAAGATTTTTAGAATATGTTCAAAGCAGTTTAATTATTTTATTTTGAGCTGTTGTCAAAAGATGTCACCCTCTTTACAATTTATCAATCTTACTTCTGATTTTCTTTAACTTGTGGTTGAAAGTATATCACAAGAGGAAAAGAAGGTTTCATATGTGGAATGACCATATAAACTCAAGGTTGCGGACAAGTGTACATTGCATGCATGCATGCATAAAGTGGATCATGTGGCTGGAATGTGCCAGGAGCAGAAATTAAATCACAATAAATAACTGTACAATAGGTTCAAGGCCCTCATATCAACTAATATCAAAGATTGTTCAACCAATGTGAGACTTCTTCCAATTTTGAGCCAAATCCACAAGTGTTGAAACAAATTATTTTAAATTGTTAGGTAACTCTGATGATAAATTTACATTGCAAAACAACTTCAGAAACACGCTTTTTTTTTCTGAAGAAGGATCCAGACCTGAAATGTCAGCTCTCCTGCTCCTCTGATGCTGCTTGGCCTGCTGTGTTCATCCAGCTCGACACCTTGTTATTTCAGAAACACGCTGATACTTGGGACTCAGCCAATTTTATATTAATGGGTGGATTCCAAATAGTAAGTCAATGGTACATGTGCAAACTTGCAAGTCATAGTTTCTGACTTCTTTTCTGAAAGTCGTGCCACTCCCTCAATGACTTTGTACAGACCAGCAGTGAGGAATTCAATTTTTCCTAGTCCAAGAGGCTAATCACTCAGCCCGCCAAAAGCCAAAAAAGTAGATTAATTTGCTGCTCCAGTGCAGTCTCAGGAGACTTCAAGAAAACTCATCTGATCAGCTGCATCTCAACAACTTGAGAGGCAGAAACACCACTTAATTTAACTTGCATTGCTGTTTTTAATTGCAACATTAAACCAGTAAAAGAGTGTAGGATGTGAATGACTCCTGTCAGTGCACTAAGTTAACCGGTTCTCTCTTTCATTCTCTCATATGTTTAGAACTGTAGCAGTTCTACTGAATGTATATTTTACCTAATTCCATATATATGTGTTTTCTCTTGTTAGATTATGTGGGTATTGCTTATTAATTGTTTCTGAACCAGCAGCACTGGAATACAGTTCCACCATACTTGTAGCAAAAAATAATTTAACTTTCTGAATATTCCTATGCTTCCGTGAACTTGTGGGGACAGGATTGGAGAAGTGGTAGCCTTGAAAAGAGATAACAAATCAGCTAGTTTGTCTGCAGATTCTGGGTTTGATTACTACTTTAAAAATATTGAGGTTGAATTCAACGTGTTTGCTATCAGTTAAAAAGAGAAGTAGCCATAAAGCTAACTAACAAACTTTCGCACCCTCTTTGCCACTCGATCCCCACCACTGAAACCCTCCCCAAAAAGAACAATCCTTTTAAGAAAACCTACCCACTGACTGAACCAAGAGATAACAAGGTGTAGAGCTGGATGAACACAGCAGGCCAAGCAGCATCATAGGAGCAGGAAGGCTGACGTTTCGGGCCTAGACCCTTCATCTGAAATGGGGGAGGGGAAGGGGGTTCTGAAATAAATAGGGAGAGAGAGGAAGGCGGATAGAAGATGGATAGATGAGAAGATAGATGGAGAGGAAACAGACAGGTCAAAGAGGCGGGGATGGAGCCAGTAAAGGTGAGTGTAGGTGGGGAGGTAGGGAGGAGATAGGTCAGTCCAGGAGGACGGACAGGTCAAGGGGGCGGGATGAGGTTAGTAGGTAGGAAATGGGGGTGCGGCTTGAGGTGGGAGGAGGGGATAGGTGGGAGGAAGAACAGGTTAGGGAGGCGGGGACGAGCTGGGCTGGTTTTGGGGTGCGGTAGGGGGAGGGGAGATTTTGAAGCTTGTGAAATCCACATTGATACCACTGGGCTGCAGGGTTCCCAAGCGGAATATGAGTTGCTGTTCCTGCAACCTTCGGGTGGCATCGTTGTGGCACTGCAGGAGGCCCAGGATGGACATGTCATCCGAGGAGTGGGAGGGGGAGTTGAAATGGTTCGCGACTGGGAGGTGCAGTTGTTTATTGCAAACCGAGCGTAGGTGTTCTGCAAAGCGATCCCCAAGCCTCCACTTGGTTTCCCTGATGTAGAGGAGGCCACATTGGGTACAGCGGATGCAGTATACCGCATTAGCAGGTGTGCAGGTGAACATCTGCTTGATGTGGAAAGTCTTCTTGGAGCCTGGGATGGGGTTGAGGGAGGAGGTGTGGGGGCAGGTGTAGCACTTCCTGCAGTTGCAGGGAAAAGTGCCGGGTGTGGTGGGGCTGGAGGGGAGTACTGACTGAACCAGTGTTTATGATTCAGGTTGGAAGATGTTTAGTGAATACTGAGAAACATCTTCCCTTTCACTGGGTGAAAAGACATGTTTTCTGCCCAGAAATCAGAATTTTGATTGAAATTAAATGACTTGAGGACTGACTTATTGCAAATGGTTCAAACCACTGCCTACATACCAGCCCTCAAGCAACAGTGAAAAGAGAATTTTTAAACAAGAAGCTGAAGGAGGGAGAAGTAAGAAGGGGGAGGCACAGGAAGGGGTGAAATGTGCCATGTTGTATTAACATTGTCCCTCACAGAAGTGCTCCAGAAGAGCAGCCGTTGAAGATTTACGCAATCAAACTCCACTGGACTGTACTGTCACAGCAAATAAAACATAGCACGCAATTACTATCACTTCTTGGGAATCAAGAAGTAAAAATGCAGAAATTGCTAGGGTTATAATGTCGCAGAAATTTGATTGCTGTTGTATTTATTTGGGCTGTGCAGCAGTGGAATTAGGTAAGATGTAAGTCCATAATGGAGAATACTACAAACATAGCAAGGAAGCAATTGGGTAATGAAAATAATTTAAAACTGGCATTGCATTTGAATTTCAAACCCCATGGTGTCGAGCAGCCATAAAACATATCCAGTAAGTGGCTACCACAGGTGGATACTTGATCATTATCCAGTGTGATCTAAAGCTACAAATGTATGCAAACAGTTAGAGAAACTTCACAAGCAACCTAAGGGACACATCGGCACTGCTGAGAGTGATCCTTCCCTTTCTCTGCAGTGTACTCCAATTTGCATGTCAATTATAGTGGTTGATCTAAAAAATAGTCGTCATGAATCTGCTAATCCACCTACTCTTTATAATAAAACAAAGAACTGCAGATGCTGAAGATCTGAACAAAAACAGAAATTGCTGGAGAAACTCAGCAGGTCAGGCAGCATCTGTGGAGAGAAAGCAGAGGTAACATTTTTGAGTTCAGTGACCCTTCTTCAATCTACCTACTTGTCATTTTTCTTAATAATGTAGGATTTCTGTCATATTTTAACCAGTAGCGTCGTGAGTGATTTAAGTACAAAAGTGACATAAAAGTAATTAGCAACTGCAGTGATATAACAGCTCTGTTGGTAGAAAATTCTACAAGAATGTTGAGAGCATTTAACTGTTGACTACAGAATGGTAGAGGAAGAAAGTGATGTTTTTATTTTACCAATATATCTACAACACTACAGTATTTAATTTGGGGAGCTAGCTCACACTGTATCTGTAGGAAAAGTGAATTTTGCATCACCTGAACTTACTGATCGAGATGTAACAAATATTTTAAATGATAGAGAAGCTCTAGTGTTTTCAAAGACTCATCTCTCATTCCTTCCACTCAATTCGAGTGATGAATAGTTATAAAGTTTTGTTTCGGTGCACTTCTCCACTGATTCATGAATTAAGTTTAAGTCTTGGAAGTTCAATTCCTTGTAAAAGAATTGTAGTTCTGAAATGCATGCTGCTTTCTGTATTTTCTTAAATTAGTTTTGTCTCAAAATTTATGAGTAATCCATTAGACTTCAGAACTTAGTTTCAATTACGAAATGTTTCTATTGCTTATTATTAGATAACATAAAATACATTTTTTAAAAATTACATTCACTGGTATAGTGCATGTCATTTTTCTCTTTTAGAGGATAGTGAGAGTGTAGCACACCAATGAATTACTCATGCATAATAGATTCATTATTGTCTAATGTATAGAGAGGTTTTGCTCTACAACAAAATTATTAATGGGGCATGTTGAGAGACAATAATGGGAAGCTGTGGTGCATGTGAGGAAACTTGTTTATGAATGAGACAACTTGCACTTCATTAGAATAGTGTACCACAAAAACAAATGGAATCGAAAAAATCTGCACCTAATTGTGACCTGCTCTTAAGCTTAATGACATAATATGCAGAGATTTGCCACATAACTCTGAAATAATCCCCACATCTACACTGCTTTCTTTCATTCAGATCTGCGACAGGACATGTTGGCTCTGCAGATTCTCCACTTGATGGACATGCTGTGGAAGGAGGCAGGCTTAGACCTCAGGTAGGCCTCCCACAGTTCACTTCCTTCGAATGCCTTTAAACCGGCTTAACTTTACAAACTAGACTGTGGCGGTGTGTGGATGAACGTTTCCAGTTATTCCATCTGAAAATTTGAAGCACATTTAAAGGAAAACACTGAGCGGAAAAAGGAGACAGATTAGGCCTTAAGGCACTATTAGCTCAGAGAGTGCATATGGGTTCATTATGTGAGAGCCTAGCCTTAACTTTGATGTGCTCACTAAGTTGGAGCATGCTTTTTCCTGAAGAAGATTTTAATGCAAGTATACTGTAATGCATATTTGAAGAATTTAATCCTTCCACACAACAAAGCAATCCTGAGTATTTTGTCAATCTGACTTGCTCTTTGGTGGTCAGATAGCCTAATGGTTGTTCTATTATTTTTTGATAGTTGGATGATTACCCATTGTATGAGACAGAGAGAGATTCAAGTTCACTTTTTTTTTGTAGCCAATATGCAATCAAAAGAATAGATTTTTTTTAAGACATGAAAAATTGTGCTTGTTTCATTCAAGAAACAAATTGTGATAAATGTCACAAATAGTATGTCTGGGCACAACATATCACTGCAAAGGGAAACATCAGTAAATCATTTTAAAATACAGTTAAAGGAAGGAAAAAGACATTTTATTGCCAAAAATTGCCTGTAGTTCTATCATTATTTTTACAAAAATTCAGCAGTCAGTTTGTTGATAAAAAAGACCAGGATGAGATGGACTGCACCCTGAGGACATGTCCTCAACTTGACTCCTGTCAAAATGCCTTTCTGACCAGGATGTTTTTTCCCTTTACATTGACCCTATTGACCTCTAAGGCTGAAAATCCTTTCATCACAGCTTGCTTTCAGAGGGGAAGTAGTTGGAGGTGTGCCCAGTGGAGCTGTAAGTAGGGTAGTTTGAAATGCCATGGAAAGATGCCAACTCGCCCTCTGAACTCCATGTGCACTTGGCGTGCGGTTGTCACACTGTGATAAGATGTGGAGTGATTCCCTGTTTCATCGTAGTGAACATTTTCATTTAATTGATCTGAAATGTTTTTTTTCTTTCCCCACCCCCTCATCCCTCTTCCCCTACAAAAATGTTCTTATTTCTAAATTAAGATGTGTTACAAGCTATTTATTCTTCTGATCAGTAACTTAAATCCCAGTAGAGAATCTCAAGAAAATGCATGACCTCTTCCTAAACTGGTAGGATGTGGAAGGCAAGAGACAAAGATAAAATCAATCTCCAGTTCTTTTTATTTCCCTTTTTCATCCGCAATGCAAGTTTTCCATTTGCATATTGTCCAATTTGAAGTAAATAATACAATCTTTCTACTAGGGTCTTAGAGGTATTGCTGCTAGATGTCCCGGGTAATGGGTTTGAATCCTGCCATAGCAGATGGTAGAATTTGAATTGAACAAATCTGTAATTAAGAGTCTAGTGATGACCATGAAACTATTGTCATAAAAACCCATCAGGTTCAGTCAGTTCCTGTAGGGAAGGAAACCTGCCATCCTTACATAGCCTGGCCTATATGTGACTCCACACCCACAGCAATGTGATGGACTCCTAACTACCCTGTGGGCAATAAGTGCTGGTCCAGCCAGCAACTCCCACATCCTGTGAATGAATAAACAACACCACTTTTCAGCAACATTTTAAAAGAATGGTGTGTAATATGAGACCTTTAACACAAATTATGGATGTGTTAATTAGTTTAAGTTTGACACCCTCTCTGATTCTAAAACATATTGCTGTTGGTCAGTCTTAGGTAGAGGCAGTAGTAATTGTTTCATTTCTTTGCCAAAGAACTAGCAGCTGAGGGTATATCAATTCTTAAGGTTTTAATTATTTGCCATATTTTGCTCTGAACTTTAGCAGCATTTTGTGGCTTCTCAATGTGCTAATATATCCAAGAAAATAAATTAGATAATCTTCTCCGAATCTGGAATTTGCAAACTTCCTTGGCACAATTACATTTTCTAAGACTCAGACTTGGCTGTTGTTTCGATTCTAGATGAGCATATGGACAGTATGCAGCGCCATCTGTTGTTGTTCTGAACTGATTGCAACTGTAGAAATGTGCCAGATTTCTGAATTTGGCAGGATTCCTGATAGGAAGAACTAGATTTCTTTTTCTCACTTGATGGATTTTCCATCAGAATTGTTGCCTCAGCAGTAAGCCATAAGTCAGGAAGCAAGCTAGGAGTAGAAAAGGACTCCGTAATACAAGGCGCGTGCTTTATACCATTAACACACACAGTACTGTTTCATCACATTGGTTGGCTTACAAAAATATCTCGGTTTCAACTGAATTGACATTTCCCAATGCACAGCTAAACCCAACTGCTGTATTTTTCCAGGGGGCATCTAACGATAATAATCAGTGAAAATATGTGGTTTCCAAGCTGTGCATCATCCTGACCTGGACACACATTATCACTGGGTCAGTAACCAGGAACACCATACCCAACAATCTCATAGGGGTACTTGCACCACATGGAGCAGTAGTTCAAGTAGACACATCACCATCACCTTACCACATTCTAAAGACAACTAACATGTTAGTCTGGCCTTACCAGCAAGGCCTGCATCCTTTCGCATATTTCATACAAATATACTGCATAAGCCAATCTGTCATGAATGAAGCTATTTAAGTGTTTTCCCTAATGAATGCCATGTTTTTCACTGGTAGTTGCAGACTAGGAAGGTCCCAGGTTTGTTCCAAGCAGGATTCAAGAAAGTTAGGGATAAACGGGAGTGGAAAAAAAAGAGGATAAATGTTCCTATAAATGTAGCAATTTTCTGTGTGGAAGCCTATAGGAACTGATCCTTTAAACAGTGGGGAAATAAAAGCAAGATTAGCCTACTTAAAATCTCAGATTATTAACAACAGCAGTTGCATTTTACATTGTATTGTTAATTTAGCAAATGATTATCAAACAAAATCTGACACCAACCATAAAGGAGATATTAAGAATAGGTGTCCAGAACCTTGGTCAAGAAGCTAAGTTTTGAGGATCATCTTAATGGAGAGGTTGAGGGAGGGGATTCCAGAGTTTGGGGCTGAGGCAATTGAAAGCGTGACCATGAAGGGAATTGAATTCAGAGATTTTCAGAGAGACAGCGCTCGAGGAGTTTGGAGATCTCTGAGGCATATAGGGCTCGAGGAGTTAGGAGATCGCTGAGGCATTTAGGGCTTGATAAGATTACTAAGATCGGGAGGCACAAACTCATGGACGATTGCCTCTCCACCTCCTGTTCTGTCTTCATAGCACTTCTTAAAAACTACATCTTTGGCAACACTTATGGTCCATCTGACCTAATTTCTCCTTAAGTGGCCAGGTGTCATGCTTTGGTTTATAGTGTCCCTGTGAAGCATTTTGGGATGTACCACTATGTCAGAGGCACTATATAAATATAAATTGTTATTGCTGCTTCACTGGGGATAAATGCAGCATAGAAAGCATGAGAATTAAGCAAGCAACTGCCCTATTTTTGTATGCAGCAGCAAAACTCCCTCCACCATTTCCACTGTCTGAATTTACCTGATTGGAAATAGTTAAACTACTGTAATACTTTAAAACTGAAGCAGTGCAAGTCAGGCATCACTCCAATATTTCGTGGCATGTTAACATTACTGTGCTGTGGAAACCACGTTATGGCTGCAATATATTCAAATTGCTTCCTCTTTAGTCTTGATGTAAAACTTTGTACTGTTTCTTTTACAGAATTGTGCCTTATGGCTGCCTTGCAACGGGAGATAAATCTGGTGTAATTCAGGTGGTGTCTGCTGCAGAAACTATAGCGAATATCCAGCTAACTAATAGTAATGTTGCTGCTACTGCTGCCTTCAACAAAGATGCTTTGCTAAACTGGCTCAAGGAAAAGAATTCTGCGTGAGTTTTTGTTTTCACTTGGTCTTCAGACATATTATAAGGAGCCATAAGAGAACCTTTTATGAAGTTGCATCTTTTTCTCTCTATTATGCTAAGTTATTTCCTGCTTTCCCTCTCTCGCCCCACTGGAATGTTTCATTCAGGTAATAGAACCAGGAATAGGCCATTTGGCCTCTTGAGCTACTCCACCATTCAGTAAGATAATGGCTAATCTATTGTGACCTTAACATTCATTCTCGATTGTCCCACATAACTTTTGACCCGCTTTGTCAATATAAAATCTGTTTAACTCAACGTTGAATATATACAGTGACCGCTTCTCTGGGGAAGAGAATTCTACAGATGAACTATTTTCTGGGAAATAAGATTACTCCTCTTCCCTGTACCAATTCTTTACAAGGATATGGTCTGACTGTTTCTGGCTGCCCCATGGAATTGATATTTCTGCCCCTCAATTGGAACTCCTGCCTCAGTGTTTGCAGTCTCTGTGCTAAGAGAACTCTCACTGTGGCATGCATCACCTTTGGGAGGGTAAGGAGTTAAGGATAGAGTGGGGTGTTGGTGGTTATGTGGCAAAGGCTGCTGATGAGAAAAGGTAGGTCTTCGCCCAGCGTGTGTGAAAGTGTCCCTAGTGCGGGGGAGAGTGAGCCCTCTTGGGGGAAGCCCAGCTTGGAGCGTCTGCAGGCCCACGGCTTGAAAGGACTGTAATGTTTGACTTTTCAATTTTATTTCCTTATTTTTCTAATTTTATACTCTGTAAACTGTAGTGCTCAACTTCTTAAACTTATTTCTTTGTTTTTCTACTTCGGTAACTAAAATTTTGTACCCAGGTAATTTGTATCTAAGATGGCGCTATGTGTAGTGACATTGTCCACTTTTCACTACACTCTTGTACCCTGTACACGAGTACACTTGACAATAAAACCTAAATCTAAGTCTATTTGCAAACACAGCAGTGCGTAGACCTGAACTGAGGTGGCAGAAGTTCAGGGAATCCTGCACAATGTTTTTCCTTTACAATATGTTGTTCCAAACTCTATCATTAAATAAATAATGGCAGGATTGTTCTGTTACTGTATTTTTTATTAGAAGCAAAACTGCATCTGGCTGTGTGGTAAATGCACGCAAAGCAACAAGGAAAAAAATGCTTGACATTGAGCCCTTCACAAAGGGATAGACAATATGAGCTCTTGTCCTGGGAAAGCTGTTGTAAAAAAAAAATACTTTTTGGATTATCTGAAGTTTGGGATGGCTTGGGTGCTTGGCCAGAGTTCTAAAGATTCCGTCTGTACATCTGAGAAAAATCACTGAATCATTGGAAGAATTTAGGATAGTGCGTGATGAGTCTGTTCATGCTTCATGTGGTGAATGGTGGCTTACAATTCAAATTTAAATAAAATAAAAGCCCGAAGAGATTGTTCAAGCAGGAGCACGCCCTCTCTAAAGGTGTGGGTTGTTTTTTTCTCCCCATTGCAGTGTCGTATCAAATCCACCATTGCCCAGACACATTTTCCCATGTGAACTTCCACTTTTCACCTCATTAACTATGTAGCCAAACTGTTGGGTGTGTTTCTCAGGGAATCCTATTGTGAGCAAGTTGAAAGTGCTGAGGGCCAGGCATTTCCTCTCAGACTGTGGGTACTCAACCTTAGAAAGGTCTTGGACAGAAGGCAAGCTGCCTCCATATTTCTAGGTGAGGGATTTGCAGGGGATGGTGGAGAACAGGGCTATCCCTTTCCCAGCGGAGACCACACCCACAAACTGGGCAAGCCTGGAGAGAAATTACTGCACTGGGTCAACTTGCCTCACATTCAAAGGCCAGCACTCGTCTTACTCTGCCACTGCACATGTATCTCACCAAGGGTGAAGGACAACACCCTTAGTGTTATATGCATCATGTTCACTCAAGGGCTTTCACCCACCGCATCCTTCTAAACTACTAACCCTTCCTGCCTTCTGTGCTTCCTACTGACTCAATGGGGAGACCTCACCACCTTTCCTACCCCTGTATTGCCACCAGCTGCTCTTGCACTTCCATCGCACTTTTTTTTTCTTGGCTTTCAGTCATTTGAGGAGCTCCCGCTCCCCCCACCCCACCACTGATCACCCGCCAGCACCTGAACAGCTTCAAACTGCTTGTACGTCACTTGCATTGACTCACTGTGGGCAAGCCTCTGGAGCACAATCAGATGAGCTCCTTGACTGCTGATAGCAACGTCCTCTGCCTGACTGTCAGTCCTCCTCATCCCATTATGCATTTGTTTCTCCTTTTTGATATTCACATTTACTTTGAAGCACATGCAACGTGTTCGGAGCTTAAGCTGCTGCCATGTACTGCAACTGTGACAATGATGTAGCATGGTGCCAACAGTGATCTGTCCACCTTCTGTCTGACTGAAAGATGTAGTCCTCGGTGCTCCCCATATAACAAGCTGATTGCTTTTCCTTCTGTGTGAAAAAGTGAGCAAAGCTGCACAAGCTGACAGTCTTGTAATCGGGTGCTCAAGACTTTGAGGGCCACGTTGCTTTATTCGCACAGAGGCTGGAACCCTGTAACTCAATATAAACATTAGTGAGCATTACGAAAGCAAGCTAAGAGCGTGAGTTAAAAGTGTCCTTGTTAATGCAAAAGCATCCTGTGTAGATACATTTGTGGCCATCCATGCGCACAATCCAACCTCTCAGAAGTATGCAAGTTGTAGGTGTCCCTGAGCTCTGGAGTACAGGGTGGAAGGCCTAAGTGATGTCTGAGTTAGTCTGAGAATAGACACGATATGATGAAGCTGGTGATTTACTGAAATGGACTTTTGTGGATGAAGTGTCAAGGAGAATGGTGGCTATTAGAGAACGCAGGGCCATTGTGATGAAGAAGCAAATGGAGGACGACCAGAACAGGTATTCCGCGAATTGTCACCATCAGGTACCCACATTGATCTGCTTGTCAGAATCTTCAAGATGAGGGGGCATCAGGGCAAACCAGTGTAAGGAGCAACCTGTGACTGCACTGGCACCAAAGCTAGCAGGGAGAGCTTCCTGCCTAGCCTAGAGTGCCAGACCCATGGCCTACTCCCAGAGGGTAACGTCAGGCACCTAAACTGGTGCCTGCTACCTGTAGAAAACTGGAGGCTGCCTGGAAAATACCAGTTGGTCTCCATAATTGGACTTAAATAACTCTTAATGAGATGTTGTCATCTACCTGCCACATTCAGGTGGATAACCAGGCAGCCCCTTCCCACTTCCCACTGCTATCCTGCCTCCAGAAAAATGATTCATAAACAGTTATGGAGCAAGTGATTCAGCAACTTTGACAGGAACAGATGATAAATTACAGATTTCTTGAATTCCATGGTGGGAATTGAATTTACAGTCTCCAAATTTGCAGTTCCATAACTCCATGTAATATCAGTAATTAGTTGGAAGCGCTGAAAACTTCAAAGGCTATGAGCCCTGACAACATTCTAGCAGTATTACTGAAGATTTGTCCTCCAGAACTTGCTGCTCCCCTAGACAAATTCATCCAGTACAGTTACAACACTGGCATCTACCCAACAATTTGGAAAATTGCCCTGGTATGTCCTGTACACAAATGCAAGACAAAACCATTACCACCCCATCAGTCTACTCTCGATCAGCTGTAATGTGATGGAAGGTGCTATCAAGCAGCACCTGCTCAGTGATACCCAGTTTGGGTTTCGCCAGGGGCACTCAGCTCCTGATCTCAGTACAGCATTAGATCAAAGGAAAAAGAAGCTGAATTCCAAAGGAGAGGTGAGAATGACGGCCCTTGCCATCACAGCTGCACCTGACTGACTGTGGCATCAATGAGCCTTAGCAAAACTGGAATCAATGGGTATCAGGAGGCAAACTCTCCATTGATTGGAGTCATACCTGGTACATAGGAAGATTTTTTAGATTTAGACTTTATTGTTACATACTCAGGTGCAAAAGTACAGGAGTACAGTGAAAAGTCTTCAATGTCACCACACATGGTGCCATCTTAGGTACAAGTACATAGGTACAAAAACTTAAGGTAGGAAAAAATAAAGATATAAAGTTAAACATTACCATCTTCCTTAGTGTTAGTCTTTCTTAAGTGCTTAGCCATGCTGGGACTGCACTGCCTACAAAGGTTCGATCTTCTCCACTTGGGCACACTTTCCCCGTGCTGGCTCGATTTCCCCTCTGCTCTCATGGTTGCTGCAGATGTCAGGGGAACCTCTCTCCCCGCTTTGGGATCAGTCATCCAGCTCCAGGACATCTCTACAGGAGTTCCTCAGGCTAGTGACCTAGGTCCAGCCATCTTCAGCTGCTTCATCAATGACCTTCCCTCCATCATAGGGGAAGAAGTGGGGAGGTTCGCTGATGATTGCGCAGTTTTCAGTATCATTCACGACTCCTCAGATACTGAAGCAGTCCATCTACAAAAGATCTGGACAGTACCTGGGCTGACATAGCAAGTAACATGCATGTCACACAAATGCCAGGCAATGACCATCTCCAATAAGAGACAATCTAACCACTACCTCTTCACATTCAGTGGTGTTACCACCATGAATCCCCCCACTATCAACATCTTTGGAGTAACCATTGATCACAAACTCAACTAGACTCACCACATAAACACAGTAGCTATAAGAGCAGGTCAGAGGCGAGGAATATGGTGGCACGTAACTCACCTTCTGACTCCCCAAAGTCTGTTCACCATCTACAAGTGATGGAAAGCTCCCCACTTGCCTGGATGAGTGCAGCTCCAACAACACTCAAGAAGCTTGACATCATCCAGGGCAAAGCAACCGGCTTGATTGGCACATCCACAAGTATTCACTCCCTCCATCATCGATGCTCAGTAGCAGCAGTGTGTACTATCTACAAGATGCACGGCAGAAATTCACCAAAGATCCTCAGACAGCACCTTCCAAATCCACAACGACTTCCATTTAGAAGGACAAAGGCAGCAGATACATGGGAACATCGCCACCTGGAAATTCCCCTCCAAGCCACTCACCATCCTGACTTGCAAATATAACACCGTTCGTTCGCTATCTCTTGGTCAAAATCTTGGAATTCCCTCCCTAATGGCATTGTGGGTCAACCTACAGCACATGGACTGCAACAGTTCAAGAAGGCAGCTCACCACCACCTTCTCAATGGTAACTGCAGACAGACAATAAATGCTACCCAGTCAATGACGTCCACGTCCCATGAATTAATTTTTTCAAAAATCACCCCCGTGAGCCAACAACATGTCTTCACTTGCACCAACCAACGCTGATCTCCTGTTAGTTCTTACATCCCATGTACTACCACTTGAGACTAATCCTTCAGTCACTGCACACCTGCCCTCTGATATTCTCTCCCAAAATCACTTTGCCTCACTTTTTAGTTTTAGAAAAACCACCTCACGAACATTGTCTTTAAAAATGTGTTTGACTGTAATCTCTTCACCTCGTTACAATTTTCAACCTCTCTTCTGTTTGGTATCTGACAATCTGTATGTACAGGTCACAGCATAAAGCAGAACCCCTTTACAAATCATTTACAATTTACTGTGTTCCTGTAATTTTATATATGGCAGATACAAAGACCTTATTTTAAGATCTCATTCTGAATCCAAGATACATAAACTGCTGTATGTTTGTTTTTATAAATGCAGATCCAATTGTTCTAATAAACCAATTGCTCCATTTAAAAACAAAAAAATCAATCTTCTGCTTGATCACAGAGATGCTCTTGAACGAGCAATTGAGGAATTTACCCTGTCATGTGCTGGATACTGTGTAGCAACCTATGTGCTGGGGATTGGCGATCGACATAGTGACAACATCATGGTCCGGGAATCTGGCCAGGTATGATCTGATAATTTAAGCAGTGGCTCCAGACTGGATTAGCAACACGTGATTTCCAACAAGTTTTGCAAGTGTTGTAGAATTCATTCCTGATTTCAGGTAACTTTTCAACACAAGTAAAGCCATAGCTAAGATGTAAATCTAGGGGCTGTCATTCTATTTGTCAAGTCAAAATTTTACAGCTGTCTTGTTAACTGAGAAACTGGAAGGAAGACAATCTTTGTTTCAACCTGATTGATCTTCCCTATTGCTGTTATTCTTCAGGTAGCATTCATACTTATTTGATGGTTGATGACCCTTAACATAAGCCGTGATCTTGCTATGAGGCAGGGCAAGAAAACTAGTCTCTAGTTTGCCTCGGCTGGAATGGGGAATGAACCCTGCAAAGGTACCATTGTTCTGAACCATGTGGTAACCATCTAGCCACTGGCCTCCACCTGCCTAATGATAGATTTGTTAATTTAAGCAAGGCTTTAAGAAAGAAAAAAAGTGTAGATATTTTAATGGAACTTAGGATGGATTCAAAAAAGTGCTACTTTTGTTAGTGTTTTGTGAAACCAATTTTGAAGTAAAATCTGAGAAGCAGGCAGATCTGTAAAACATACTGTGCATATGTTCAAAATCCCAGTAATCATAGCGCTTCACCTTGCGTTTCACGTTTGCTGTTGTGATGTTGAAGCTTTGAACATTAATAATTATCTCCCAGTATGTAGTTTCAAGTCTAATTTTGTAGTGATGCCTGTGACAGAGAGTGATAATATGTTTATAAGGCAATGTTACTGTGAAAAGAGTCCAAAATCACCCCTGGATGCAACAGTTTTATTATAAATGGATATCAGTAGCAGTGCTGACATGTTGGTTTCAACAGTAAACGAGCTCAGACTTGTTGAAGTGCTGGCCTTTATGGTCCTCTCAACATTGGATAAGGTTCAAAGTCAGTGAACTGCAGCCATGGGCACAACTTTTTTTTTACCATTTTATTCTTTTTTTTAAACCACTGTGTGTGTGGGTTGATTCCACAGTAACCATTTAAGTGACAGAACTGCTTCAAATCAGAACTGTATACAAATAGGGAAATGACAGTTTGATCAAGCAAATTGTGAATGCATTGAAGACTGAAGTATTTGCCAACTCTCTCTCTTTCCAGTAAAAAAAAACTTTCTTTCAACTTTTCAGTTCTCATCATTTTTGATGTTACTTCAGTTTCAAAGATTGCAGAGAACTTTTACAAGGGAATAATCCTATTGTTTTCTGTTTCAAGCTCTTCCATATTGATTTTGGACACATTCTTGGCAATTTCAAGTCTAAGTTTGGAATTAAGAGAGAGCGTGTGCCTTTTATTCTTACCTACGACTTCATTCACGTCATTCAACAAGGAAAAACAGGGAACACGGAAAAATTTAGCAGGTAATTGAATAGTCATGCCATAACTGTTCATAGCTGTCATAGTTCCATAACTATTTATCCCCTTTCTAATCAAGAATCTATCTATTTCTGTTTTAAAGACACTCAATGTGGCCTGCACATCATCCTATATAATAAGTTCCACAGATTCATCTCACTTTCACTAAAGAAATTCCTTCTCCTAGTTCTAAATGATCATCCCTTGACTCGGAAGCTGTGTCCTCAGGTCCTAGTCACTCCTAGTGGTAAAAACCTTCTCTCCACATTCTCTCTATCCAGGCCTCTCAGAATTCTGTAAGTTTCAATGAGATCCCCCTCATCCTCCTAAACTCCATTGAGTACAGACTCTGAGATCTCAACCACTCCTCATATGACAAGTCATTCATCACCTGTATCATTCTTATAAACTCTTCTGGACTCCCTCCAAAGCTAGCACATCCTCCCTTCGATGTGGGGCCCAAATGTCCTCTCAAAATTCCAAATGCGGTGTGATGAGAGCCTTATACAGTCTCAGCAGTACATCCCTGCTCTTTGTATTCTAGCCCTCTCAAAATGAATGCTAACATTGCATTTACCCACCTTCCTGCCAACTGAACCTGTATGTTACCCTTAAGAGAATCTTGAACTAGGACTCTCAAGTCCCTCTGCTTCAGATTTCCAAAGCCTAGCCCCATTAGAAAATAGTCCAAACCTCCTCTTCCTACCAAAGTGTATAACCTCTCACTTTTCCACATTATATTCCATCTGCTGATTCTCTGCCAATTCTCGGAGCCTGTTCAAGTCATTCTGCAGCCTCCCTGCTTCCTCAACAGTATCTATCTTTCTACCTATCTTTGTGTCATCTGAAAACTTAGCAACAGTGCCCTCAGTTCCTTTATCTGTAAAATAACAAGAATAGTTGTGGTCCCAACACTGACCTATGCAGAACTCCATTAGTCACCAGCTGCTATCCTGAGAAAGACCCTGTTATCCCCACTCTCTGCCTTCTGCCAGTCAGCTAATCCCCTACCCATTGCAATTCTTTGCTCCTGACGCCATGGGCTCTTATCATATTGAGCAGCCTCCCATGCAGCAGAAAGGCCTTCTGAAAATCAAAATAGATCGTAGTTACTGGCTTTCCTTTACCTAACTTGCTTGCTGCCTCCTCAAAGAATTCTAGCAGATTTATCAGGCATGACCTCCCTTTGACGAAGCAGTGCTGACTCTGTCCTCTTTCACCAATGCATTTCCAAGTACTGTGCAATCTATCCTTTATAATCGACTGTAAAATCTTATCAACAACAAAGGTCCGGCTAACCTGCCTATAATTTGCCATCTTCTGCCTCCCTCTCTTAAACAGGAGTGTTACATTTGAAACCAAAATGTTTGTCTTGAAGTTGTGCACGTTTCCCCTAAGCCAGAAGAAATCTCTGGACCCTTCTATCTGAAACTTAATCACAACTGTTTACTCTGTCTACTCATTAAAAACTCATCTAATGAAAGCAAAACTCTGTTAATCTCTCTTTCATATTACACTTGCAAATAAATCACCAAGGCTGTTGATATTCTTAAAGTTTATCATTAAATTCTTTCATAGACACAGACAAACCCGAATACCACGAGTACAAAATCCAAACTCTAGAATAAATGATGCATATAAAACGCACACCTTACATCAATCTTTTCATAAATTTTGTAAATGCTTTGCATTTTGTAGCAACGGATTCTTTAAGAACCAATATTTATAGTCAGCATTTTGAAATAAAATGCAAAATTCATTATAAATTGAAGTCTTCCTCCTTTCGAATTTCATTCTCCTTACAGGCTGTGTCAGCACGAGAAGGAGTCATGCCAAGCACCTCATTAGTGATTTAGGCAAGTTAATTCCCCTTTCTGCTAGGTGACAAAAGTTCGACCTGGCAGACCGGTGAATTAACCACCCAGAGTTTGATGAAACAAAATGTGTATCATAGCTGTCCTTTTATCTCCTTCTCACATCCAGAAGTTGTGCATTTTGTACTGTTATCTATTTTTGGAAGGTTCCGTCAATATTGTGAAGAAGCTTACCTAATTCTGCGCAAGAATGGAAACCTGTTCATTACTCTGTTTGCACTAATGTTGACAGCAGGACTACCTGAACTAAGCTCTATCAAAGACATCCAATACCTTAAGGTAAAACCATTTTATAACTGTCTGTATTCCGTTAGAATTATTTCAGAAATGCATTTTAAAGTGGTGCTAAAGCAAAACACTAAGGACCCTTGAAATTTGAAATATAAGCATGAATGCTGGATAGACTGAAAATGTCTGACATCATCTGTGGAGAAAGAAACAAAGAAATCTTTCATAAACTGAGGCCTTTTAAACTAGTTTGTTAAACATTAGGAACCAGTCTGTGCGTTTTAAAAGACAGACTTGAACACCTTTGCTCACAATGAATTCTGAATATTGCTTATTCAATAAAGTAACACAGGAAACAAAAAACTAAACACAAGCAATGAGGAAAGGAAATTGGATCACGTGATTGCTACTATCCAAACTCATTTCTCTGCGCTTCCAGTATTGGAGTAAGATGACGTCTTTCTCTTTGCTTTGACCAGCAGTAGTAAAATGATCCAGCACTTTATTTTTTTTCTGATCCTTCCCTCCTTCTGATCAACACTATCTAATCAATTGAAAAATTAAATTGCCAATGCTAAAGTACATGCCTATAACTCTCTATGACTCCATAAATGCAAGTAAGCACTTTAGAGATATACAGCATGGAAACAAACCCTTCATTCCAACCCATCCATGCTGACCAGATATCCTAAATTGATCTAGTTTTATTTGCCAGCATATCCCTCTAAACCCTTGCTATTCATACACCCGTCCAGATGCCTTCTAAGTGTTGTAATTGTACCAGTCTCCTCCACTTCCTCTGACAGCTCATTCCGTACACACACCATGCTATGTGTGAAAAAGTTGCTCCTTAGGTCCCTTTTAAGTCTTTCCCCTCTCACCTTAAACTTATGCTATCTCGTTTTGGACTCCCCTACCCTGGGGAAAAGATCTTGACTATTCACCCTATCCATGCCCCTCATGATTTAATAAACTTCTACAATGGCGCCCCTCAGCCTTTGATGCTCCAGGGAAAATAGCCCCAGCCTATTCAGCTCAAACCCTGCAAACTTGGCAACATCCTTGTAGATCTTTTGTGAACCCTTTCAAGTTTCACAACATCGTTCCTATAGGAGGGAGACCAGAATTGAACGCAGTATTCCAAAAATGGCCTAACCAAGATCGGGGCTTTATCGACATCTGAGATTGCTGTGTGTTTGTAATTGTTTTCTTTACCTTGCCAATATGAGGATATCTCCTCACTACAGGTATTTTAGGATGGTCAGCTGAGACTGAATACATGACATGGTACAGCATAGAAACAGACCCTTTGGTCCAACTCTGGTCAGCATGGACGAGTTGGACTGAAAAGGTCTGCTCCGTCCTGTACGTCTCTATGACTCTGTGAAGGGCTGCAATGCCGCCTGTCCCCTGCACCACTGGTGTCATCTCAATATTATTCCCACTGGTTGTGTAATATGAGAGATTTTAATAATGGGTGATTCAAATAACAGTTTCTTTTTGCTTTAATTGAATAATGCCAATGTTTGTGTTACTTAATGTCATCAAAGTTGGCTATGTACACCTAAATGTTGAGTACTTGTGTATAAAGTATTTGTTTGCAGTCAAGTTTTGTCTCAATTTCTTCACACTTTTTTTTCTGCATAAAGGGAATTAATGCGCAAATGGTATCTTTGAGGCAATATCACCCATAATTTTAGATTATTTTTCCAATTAGCCCTGATCAATTCATAAATGTGGACATGATCACTGTTTGTGATGTTCTATCATTTAAACAGTTCACACAAGTAACGTGAGCCATACAATGGGTTGAATTTTCTTGACTCTGTGGAAATGGGTTTTGAGGTGGTTGGGGTGGGGTAGGGCAAAAGAAAAATGGGAGGAATGAGTCAGAATGGCTATCCAGTGCATTCCTTCCTCTGGGAAAATTTCCAGATGCAGGCAGAGAACCGGTTTAGCTGCCTGCTCCATGAAAGGCAGCCAATTAGCACCTACTGAAGGGACATTTTTTGACAGGGCTGGTAGTTTTCCACCACTGAAATGCACCCCCCCCCCGCCAACTGCAGAGCATGACAGCTCATTGGTGACATACCAGAGGGCCATGGGAACCAGAGGCTCCATGCCGCATTGGGATGGAAGGCAACAGCTAAAAGTAATCAAAGAATTTCTCCTCCCAGTCCAATGGCCCTGCTGGATACAGGCCCATTTGGTTGTTGAGTTGTCTAGAGTCAATGGAGAACTCTTAATGTTGAGGCTTCCCCTCTGACTGGGCTTGCCGACCATTCAGATCTGTAGGCCTCCGACTGGGCCTGCGGCTTCACGAACCAAAAGGATAGCAAGCTAGGAAGTTTGCACCAGGCATGATGCCATGGGTGAGCTCAGGAACCCACATATGGGTTAAGTACAGGGACCCCCAAGGCTTTGTCAAAAGGCTTCAGTATTCAGAAGCATGGCATACTAGGGTAGGGGATAGGTTAGTAGAGATGCAGTGGCAGACATTTGGAGAGATATTTCAAAATACTCATAAGGATATTTCTACTTTAAATAAAACCACCATCCATGGGAAATTTAAAAAAAATTAGGAGAAGCATCAAATATATAAAAAACACATCATTGCAGGAAGATGACTGGTAGGTCAGTTGATTGGTCAGAAGAGAAAGAACAGCAGAGATTAACTGAAAGATAAATTGAGTTGAAAAAATTAGTGAGAGAGGAAGCTAGCTAGAAATGTAAAAATGTGATAGAATGAGTATTTAAAAAGGGAGACAGTGAGTAACATGAATGTTGGTCCTCCAGTGAGTGAGAATGTGGAGGAAATAGATGAAACAAACAAATATTTTGCTTTGTCTTTACTATAGAGAATGCAAAAAAGCATTTTGGTAATAGCCTCAGGCGGTTTTATGAAATTACAATCGGGAGAGAGTGGTATAAAGCAAACCAATGGGGCTGTGGGCTGACAAGTCTTTGTGACCAACTGGACTTCATCTAGGATCTTAAAAGAGGTTGCTATTGAGGAGTCAATGCTTTGATGTTAATTTTCCAAAATTCACTCATTTCGGGGAAACTTTCAAGCAATCTGGAAAATAGCAAATATAACTACTCCATTCAAGAAGGAAGGGAGGCAGGAATTTAATCTGGTTAGCTTGACATCTGTTGTGGAAAAGGTGTTCGAATCAATTGTTAAAAAGATTATAGATTTGTACTTTAAAAATCTCATGGTATTGTTAAAGGGAAATGTGTATAGCCAATTTATTGGAGTTCTTTGAAGGAGTAACAAGAGTTATACATAAAAAGGAGTTTGTGTAGATGTACTGTACTTGGATTCCAAGGAGGTGTTTGATAAGGCTCCATGTAAGAAAGTTATTGCAGGTGATAAAAGCTCATGATATCAGGGATGATGTACTAGCTTGGATAGAAGCTGGGCTGGCTGGCAGAAAACTGAACACCGGTTTTTATCTGATTGATAAGATGTGACGAGCAGAGCTCTTTCAAGGGTTTGGGCTGGGGTTTCATCTTTATACAATTTCCATCAATGTCGTAGATGAGGGGTGCAAAGCCAGGCAGCTAAATTCACAGATGGCACCAAGGTAGGTAGGAAAGGATGTTGTGAAGATGACTTAAGGAGGTTGCAAAGAGATATAGATAGGTTGAGTGAGTGGGCAAAAGCCTGGTCTAGTAGATGGAGTATAACGTTGGAAAATGTGGAGTTGTTCACTTTGGTAGGAAGAATGTAAAAGCAGAGTATCATTTAAATGGAGAACGAATGCAGAATTCAGAGGTGCAGAGTAATTTGGGTGTTCTGTTATGAGTCACAAGACATTAGTATGCTGGTGTATCATGCAATCAAAAGGTAAGGATGTTATTCTTCAGTAAGACAGGGCATTGATGAAGATGTCTCAAATACTATGCGCAGTTTTGGTCTACTTTGAGAGTGATTTAGAGGAAGTTTACTAAATTGATTCTTGGAATGAGGGGAATGTCTTGTGAAGGTAGATTGGTCGGGGCAGGCTTGTTTCCATTTGGGTTTCCTCGAGCAGTGAGTGACTTGATTGTAGTGCTTGAGACCCTGAATTGGCTTGACAAGGTGGATTTAGAAAGGATGTTTCCTCTTGTGTATGAGCCCAGAACATTTTTTTCAAAAACAAAAAGAGACATTCCTTTTAGGACAGATATTTTTGTTTTTTTCTCTCCCTGAGTTGTGTGGTGGCTTTGGAACTCTCTACCTCAGATGGTGGTGGAGGCCATGTCATTGAATATTATAAAGACAAAGTAGGATAGATTCTTGGTGGGCAGGGTAATCAAGAGTTATTGGGGTAGATGAGAATGTGGAATTTGAAACACAAAAAGATCAGGTATGATCTTATTGAATGGTGGAGCAGGGGCATAATGGTCTACTTCTGGTCCTATTTTGTGTGTTTGTTCGTACCCCAATAGTGTGGAAGGTGACGAATGGCCTGGATACTCAATCCTCTTGCTACTTTTGGTGCCAAGCCTCAAACACTCATTCCAAGTTGCTGTGACCTCCAACATGTAACAATGAATATGCAAAGCTGAAGAAACAGAATGACCTTAACTTTAATTACAGTCAAATAGTGCACTGACACACTGGTGGTGGTATGAATCTCCAGAACTCTAACACAGCTTCAATCTCAACTGTGAAAAAAGGAGAGAATCAAAATGGGCAGAAAAGCACCTAGTCCAGTATATGCCTGAAGTACACTTGAGAAAGTGGTGCAGATTGAGACATAGATGCCATGAATTTCTCCACTTTACATGGCACCCAACTTTGGTTTCTGTGTATTTTACACTTTTAATTTTATGATTTCCAGCATCATATGTCATTGTAAGATTGCAGCCCTGTTTTTACAAATTTCCTCCTTTTGGCTCCAGGACTCTCTTGCTTTAGGTAAAAATGATGACGAAGCATTGAAGCAGTTTCGACAAAAGTTTGATGAGGCCCTTCGTGAAAGCTGGACAACAAAAGTGAACTGGATGGCTCACATTGTGGCCAAAGACAAATGGTCCTAGCAAATTTTTAGCAATGCACTGAAAGAAATGCCGGAAGTTAAATGAGGAAACAGCTTGCCTCTGGACCAAATTGCAGGAGAATTCTACAGTTGTTGCACTTCATGCCTTCCAACCTCTAGTGCAACTATAACATTATGAAATATGTATATATTTGCTGGATCTTGCTGACTTTGCACGCTGCAGGCGACTGGTTGCTTCATCTTGAGATTTTTAATGGCATGGTACTAGTGGAATAGATGTACACTTTTCCAGAAGTTGAGGCTGACTGATACCAAATATTGAACACTATCAACATAGATTCTGTGTGATTGCTATTGGGTGTTCCTATTCATATTGTTTATGTTGGATTCATTTTAAGTGGAAGATTTTATTTTAGATCAGTTAGTCTGGACTGAAAGGTCATGATAGGATCCAATTAACAGGAATTGGTGATAGTTAGTTATTTTTTATGAAATAAGCATTTACATAATTCTGGATTTTAGCTGACACGAGTCTATCCCATAGTAAAACACCGATCTTAGTATCAATCTCCTTGGACGCTATTTGATCAGTGCCATATTGCTGCAGATGTTGTTTTAAATCCAAGGAGAATGATTCTGTTTTCACCGAAAATCATGAACAATAGGTCAATGTTATAAAGTTGGTCTAAAAGGAAAATAAACTGGTATTTTATACTCAAGACACATCTATTCTACCCATGACACTACTCATCATTTTATGGATGATTTGCAAACAACTGGTGAATAAGCCTAGAATTGCTATTTTTGTTCTCCAACTATTGTTGAGATCTTAGCACTGAATAAGGAAAATGCTTAGCAGTGGTGTATTTGTGAATTTGCATTTTAACATGTCAAGTCAACTTTAGATTTTGAGTGATTTCAATCAAGCTTTGTGGTGTGTTTCAGATGATGTTGTAGAGATGGTTAGAAAGATAGCTTCAGTTTTGCACCATCGGTTTAAGAGCCTATCTGGAATTAATTCAAAGGGCTTTAGGTGCATTTTTCAGGCTGTGTTATCCCAGGAATGATAAAGCTGTGCTGGCTTGACTTCCAGTCACTTTAATGATGATTACTAAGATAAATTGAAATCAGTTTTTAAGTTCCATTCTCGAATGTAGCTTTATTTTAATCATTTGTGGGATGTACTCATTGCTGGCTGGGCCAGCAGTTATTGCCCATTCTGAGTTGCCCTGGGAGAACCTCTGCTGGTCCATTTTTTCCAGGTAGACAAACAACGCCAATAGTGAGGGAGTTCCAGGATTTTGACCCAGCAACACCAATGGAATGGTGATTATTCCACGTCAGGATGATGAGTGGCTTTTTGGTGGTGGTGGTGCTGTCATGCATTTTGTCCTGGAGAATAGAATTCACATGTTTGGAAGGAGCTGTCAAAAGGCAGCTTGGAGAGTTAATGCAAGTGCATTACATGGATTGTACACATTGCTGCCATTATATGTCAGTGGTGAAGAGAGTGAGAATGTGCTCTGTCGTGTGTGAACTTATTAATGGTGTCTGCTCAACATGAGGCAACAGAGAGGATACTTGTAAGGAAAAGAATTGCTCTGATCACACGTTATCTTAATGTAAGCATGATCCTTAGATCAGACTTCTGATATTGCATAACATCTGGATTGTCTAGGTAGTCTGATGTGCTTATCTGATATAGATTCATTTTGTCACAGTGTTATCAAGTTTGCTAATTAATATTTTGAGGCATACCCAAATTGGTCCGACACCACCGTTTAAATGAACAGAGAATATATTGGTATTTACAAAATGTAAATTGTTTAGTAAACCATATGGAACAGATTTTTTAAACTTGATCTTTGAATTCTAAATGCCAGGCTGTCCTGCGGTGATTCTGATGTGAAATTGTACTGGGAAACTAATATTTCTACTGTGGTGGAGGCCTTCTGTAGTTCCACTCAGACACACCAAAAGCACACTGCAGCAAACCACAAAGGAGATCACTTGGTTCAATCTGAATGTGATTTTTTCTGACCCTCAGCAGCTATTGTTTATTAAGGGTCCTGCCACTTTTTTTTTGACTCAGCTATTTTAATGCTACTTTAATTTGCCTTTATCTACAGTGCTGCTCAATGGAGGGGTAAGATATATAACAAGTAAACAGTGAGCACTGCAGTTTTGATGCCTAGATGGAATGGTACTGCATTTTCTCTTCCCTGGTGCTACTGCAGGCAACCACTTGTAATTCGTGCAATACAAAGATTTTTGTCACAAAATAGTCATGGTTGCAGGCATTAAAACATTAGTGAGGGAACTATCTTCAATTCTTCTGCCTTTTCAGGTGAAGGGCTATCATGGTTTTAACAATATCGGTATTACAAGTTAATGTAACCTTTGCTTTCACTTTTTAAGCTGAAAATTTATTAAAGGTAATTTGGAATAAGGTAGCTTCCTTACAAGCATTGTGTATGTGGTGTTATCACCATTTAACTGTGTTGAATATTATATGGTAAATAAATGTTAAAAGCACAGTGTGTCGATTTTGGAATTTTATTGGAGTTCTTCACTGAACAGAAACCTCCAGTTAAGAAATCGACCATTTGTCATTATGCTTAATATGAAAAAAAACTAGTAAGATGGACAATTTTCTTTAACCTAACAAAGTGAATTGAAGTGATTTTGATTTGCACAGTTTTAACCTAAATGCATAGATATTAATACTTTAGTGCACTTTAGCAGATAGTTAATGTCTTTGGCCTCGAGCCAAGAGGATGGTGACAGTACCGATCTCAGCAAAGATACCTCTTTTGCGTGCTTAAGATTGACATGGGCATATGCCAACTTTAGTCCTGAAATTTTTACAGCTTGCCTTTGTTAACTGTTCAGGTTGGATGTTTGTCAGATATTCTGAGTAATACTGGAATTTCTTGAAGTTCTCAACTTAAAACAACTGATTATTTATTTGGGAAAATTAACTTCAACCGTAAGGAAGCCAAATTATAAGGATTGGTTTACTTTTTTATATGTATATTATGAAATACATGCCTGTTTCCAATCAGTTAATCCACCCAAGATAGTATATATAGACAAACATTATACTGGCCTGGGAAAAGCTGCAGTAAATTTTCAAATGTAAAGGAATACAGCTGATTTAAAAAGCATTCTGAAAAGTCAATAGGGTAAATTGCTTCTCCATTATCCCTCTATCTTCACAACCTTTAGCCAAAATTAGCCATGTTCCATTAATGGAGATCTATCTTTGCGTGCTAGACCTACTTTTTGCAAAGCCTTAATAAGTGTAAAGGGTTATTTATTTGGTTTAAATGCATTTTCAATGCAGATTTTATGGTCTTCCCATCTGTTTATCGATCGTCATCCATCCTCCCTCTTAAAAGTGTGGGACAGTCTAAGCTGCAGACTACTCCATGGCTGCTGTCAATGCTGCTTAATAGGAGTATCAGACTTACACATGGCATAGCAGACTGCATGTCTGAGTATTTTTCCATGCTCATGGCGGGGGTGGGGGTGGTGCTGTGGTCCACATTGTAATTAATGGAGAATTATCAAAGCTTGTAATCCGCAAGAGCTATGGTTGAATGCCAGATGAGGTTGGATTTGGGATTTGAGCCAGTAACCTCACTATTGATATTCCAATGCTCTATTATCAATGCTACTGTTCTGCCTTTTGTATATTGTTTATAAGAATCAATAATGCTTGTCGCTACTACTGAGTTGTGTAGATTTGTACAGGATTTAAAAACAAATTTTCTCCATAAGGGCTTGGGCAACACTCCTATAATATTCAACAAATATTATGCAGACTGTGGATTTATTTAATTGTGTCCTTGTAATAAATAAGTAAACTGTATGATAAATAAGTGGCATGCAGGGAACTGTGCCTTTTAAAGATTTGCCATAGATTTTGAATGTACTGATGTTAAATGTTTCAGAATTTTATCCTGTTTATATTAAATCATGTGTCATTTCAGAAGAAAATCTGCAAGGTCTAGGATTAAATGGTTGTTAAATGTATATTTTGTTTTTAAATAAATTTTTTAATGAAACTTTGTCGAAACATTTTTCTTTCTCCTGTCTGACATCACCTGAAAATTATAAACTGGAGGAATTTTTATCATTTTGAAGAGATGTTGATTTCAAGACAGAGCCAGAGCTAGTGTGGCCAGGTGCCTGCATTTAATTCATAGCAAAGGTATTAATTTCTATTGAAAATCATTCGAAGTGGTGGGGAAGATAACCAGGCAGTGGGTTCTGCAGAGGGAAGGTGACAGGTGTGGGATCAAGTTTGCCTTCCAGCTGCTCTAGCCCTCATCATCCCACCTACTCCTTGACACCCATGCCAAACTATCCCAACTGTCACTCCTTCCCATTGCCACCTACCTGCAATGGCCGCACAACCTCAATGTGAGCCTATGTCAGCACCACCTTTCATGTCCCACCACTCGTCCTGTTAGTGGAGGTGGTGACATAATGTTGTCACTGGACGAGTACTCCAGAAACCTAGACAAATGATCTGGGGTCATGGGTTCAAATCTCACTGAAATGTAGATTTTAAAATTAAGGCTAGTAATGGTAGTTTCAAGTTGTCATTTAAAATCCCCCAAAGGAAAGGAATCAGCCATCCTTACCTGGTCTGACTACATGCAACTTCAGGTCCCCAGCAATACCCTCGAAAATGGTTGAACAAGCCACTTATTTAAGGGCAGTTAAAGTGCCATTCATACCTCATGAAATAATAAAGAATAAAATCGCTCCATGGCTGCTGGTAGCTTGCAAGTCAACTTCATGTGAAGCAAGCCACCACCACCACCTTCCCTTGCAGCTTCCATACCAACCCATCGAGTATCTACCATGGAAGAACAACATCAGCAACTATGCTGAAGTAACAAAAGTCTAAATATCTGTTACAACCTTTATTCTAATTAAAAATGCAACAATTTATGGAAGTCCGTTCAAAAAAGAGACTTGTACTCATGCCCACATCAGACAGCTAATCTTTTAATAACCTGTTCGAGCTGTCAAGCTGCAAACTTAAGATCCCCAACAGAGGTAAGAGTTTATGAAAACCAGACAAGCATGAATAAAAGTGACATGATTATTTCACATGATTATTTCACATGCTAAATTCAATGCAGGTTTGGTAATTGCGACAGTAGATTTGTTTAAATTCTCACGGACATGGACAGTGTACCAGGCAATGATAATATCCAACAAGCGGGAATCAAACTCTTTACATTCAATAGTATTACCAGAACTGAATCCCCCATTATCAACATTCTGGGTCTGACCATTGACCAGAAACTTAATTGGACCAGCCACATAAATATAGTGGCTGCAAACACAGATCAGAGGCTAGGAATCCTGCAGAGGGTAACTCACCTGACTCCCCAAAGCCTGTCCACCACCGACACGGAACAAGTCAGGAGTGTGATGGAATACATCCCACTTGCTTGGATAAGTGCAACTTCCAACAACACCCTAAGTTAAGCACCAGAGGACAGCAGCCCACTCGATTAGCACCACAACCAGTCACACCTATGATCATTGATAGTCAGTGACCGCAGTGTGTACCATCTCCAAGATGCATTGCAGAAATTCACCAAGTCACCTGTGTCAGCACCTTCCAAACTCACAAGTATGACCAACTAGAAGGACAAGGACAGCAGACATATGGGAACACCACCAGCTGTAAGTCACTCTCAATCCTGACCTGGAAAAATATTATCACTGTTTGTTCAGTATTGCTGGGTCAACATCCCAGAATGCCCTCGTGAACAACATTCAGTAGATCTACTTTAACTGAACTGCAGCGGTTAAAGATGGTAACTCACCGTCATCTTCAAGGGTAAATCGTGATGAGCAATAAATGCTGGCCTAGCCTGCAAAGTCCTCATCCCATGCATGATTTTTTAAGAAAAGAAAATGCCTATTATTAAGGCAATCCCAGATCCGAAAGTGATTCAAGTACTGACTAGCGTGAAAGATAAGCATATAACTTGTTCATCTGGTTTTTAAGGGCACAAACATTTTTAATAGCTTATTAGCTGTTCAAACAACACAAGTCCTGAAAGTGAAATAAATTCATTAGTTATTGACCAAAAATTGCTTACATTTTTACTAAATAGAGGGGATTCTTTAAAAAAAATTAGGAAGTTAAAACATAGTTGAAAAAAATTAAGATTTAATGCAGCCTAAGAATATGAAGCAATTCAGTGAGTCATACCTTCTCTAATTTTTTCTTACCCCATAACAACGGAGGTCCCAACTGAGAAAATTATGCAAGTTGAAATTGTAATTGAAAATTCAGAAATTGTGTTTCAAATCGTGCTTTTAATTTTTTAAATTTTTGTTGCACTATTCTGGCAAACTAAATCTCCACTTTGTATCATCTGAAATGAGCAAAATGGATGGCAGATGAACAATTAGACTCAAATTTTATTTATGCTAATTTCTTTTAAATACCACAAGCAAAATTAAGTAAAATAGAAAGAACTTGCATTATGTAGCACCTGTCACAATTTCAGTATATACCAAAGTGTTTTACAGCCAATGAAGTACCTTTAAAAGTATTGTCAAATTGCAATGTAGGAGATCAGCATCACCTGCAAGCTCCCCTCCAAGCTGCTCATCAACCCAACTTGGAATAAAATTGCCATTCCTTAAGTGTTGCTGGGTCAAAATCCTGAAACTCCCGAATGGCATTGTGGATCTACCAGTAGCACATGGATTGCAGCAGTTTGAGGTGGCAGATCACCGTCACCTTCTCAAGGGCAACTAGGGATGGGCAAGAAATGCTGTCTTAGCCAGCAAGGCCTTGAATGGATTTAAAGAATCACAGTTAATTTGAACACGCCAAGCTGATACAAACAGAAGTGCAATATCAAAGTAATTTTCCTTTCAGTGGCTGTTGTTTGAGGGACAAATATTGACCTGGATGTGAGACAGAACTCTCCGTCTCTTTGAACAAAGAGGGCCATTGGATATTTTAAATTCAGCTGAGGGGTAGGCTTTGTGTAACAGCTCAACCATTGATGGCACTTCTGAAGTGTCAGTCTAGTTTAAGTTTTCATTTTTGGAGTGAGACTTGAACTCAACCTTCCAATTCAGATGCAGGACTGTCAGCATTCAGCCATATTTTCCACCTGAATATGAATGAGCTTAAGTTAATGTAATCTTTCAATGTAGCAAACAGCTTGATTCAGATCTTTCAAAGTACATTTCATGCATGTGACCAACACAAGTTGTTAACTGTAAATGCTACAATATATAAACCAAAGTCACGTGAAAGTACTTTCAAGCAACATTTATCGTCCAGTTCCATCTGATCAGCAATCGAATAGTTTCGAAGAGTATGTTTGATTACCCGGTTTATCATCCTTGGGTGCTTCAGTAAAGTAAGGACTGGTCCTCTTCCAACTTAAAACTTTTTAGTGGAAACCTGTCAAATTCAGGAAATGTCAATATTGACAACTTTGTTTCATAAAAATCTGCAGGCTCCGTGTAAAATTCCATTTTCATAAGACATTCTCTCCAATAAATGCATACACAGAAAAAAGACTGTATAAAAGGCTCAGCGAAAGTTCAATATTGTCAAACATTTGTACATGCAAACACCGAGAATGCAATAACTATCCATCATATGAATACACGGGGCTGATTTTTGTCAGCCTTGAGGCTGCCCCTGCTTTGACAGGTGGTGGAATCTGGATTGACATTTTGCCAGCTAATGTTAATTAACAGACCATTATCATCCAACTGAGGACTGAGCCCCAGAGAGGCTGCAGTGTGACTGTACCAGTGTGGCAGCTAAGCTTGCAAGGAAGGTGCATACATAGACCATAGAACAGTACAGCACAGTACAGGCCCTTCGGCCCACGATGTTGTGCCGAACTTTTACCCTAATCCTAAGGTCTATCAAACCTCCACCCCTACCTTATACTATCATCCATATGCCTATCTAATAGCTGCTCAAATGCCCCTAATGAGGCCGACTCCACTACCCTCTCCGGCAATGCATTCCACGTCCCGACCACTCCGAGTAAAGAACCTACCTCTGACATCTCCCCTATAGCTAACTCCACCCTCGGAAAAAGTCTCTGGCTGTCCACTCTCTATACCTCTGATCATTTTGTATACCCCTATCAAGTCACCTCTCACCCTTTGTCATTCTAAAGAGAAAAGCCCTAGCTCTCTCAACTTTTCCTCATAAAACCTTCCCTCCATTTCAGGCAACATCCTGGTAAATCTCCTCTGCACCTTTTCCAACGCTTCCACATCTTTCCTGTAATGAGGCGACCAGAACTGGACACAATACTCCAGATTTGGCCGAACCAGGCTTTTGTATAGCTGGAGCATAGCTTCACGGCTCTTGAACTCAATCCCTCTATTAATGAAAGCTAACACACCATACGCCTTCTTAACAACTCTATCCACATGGATGGCAGCTTTCAGGGAACTGTGGACATGAACCCCAAGATCACTCTGCTCCTCCACACTGCCAAGAATCTTTCCATTAACCCTGTATTCTGCTTTCAAGTTTGTCCTTCCAAAATGAATCACCTCACACCTTTCAGGGTTAAACTCCATTTGCCACTTCTCAGCCCAGCTCTGCATCCTATCAATGTCCCTTTGCAACCTAGAACAGCCCTCCGCACTATCCACAACTCGACCCACCTTCGTATCGTCCGCGAACTTACTAATCCATCCTTCCACTCCTTCATCCAAATCATTTACAAAATCACAAATAGAAGAGGACCCAGAACAGATCCTTGTGGTATACCTTCGAGGGCACCTCCTCTGTGAGCCACATAGCACCCATCTTGGGTGTTGTGGCAGGGGCGGGGGTGTGGGTGCTCACCTAGGAACCTGCTGGGAAGCTGACAATGATTTATCAAGCAGTTTCTATGTGACATGAAGCCTTCATAACACAGGCAAAGTATACTTTTCTAATGGCTTCTCAAGCCACATTGACAACCTACCTATATGCTGTGGAAGTACAACACTGTTGGTACTTTCTTTGCACCCAGCAAATATTATTGTCACATTTGTTTCATGACAGCCACCTATTACACACTTCTAGATAGGCTATTTATACAGTGTTAGGATTCCCATAGGAAAATTGCAGATCTAAGTAACCACTTTCAGTTTAATGAAATCAGAACCAATGCAAATTAAACAAGAATTAACCGGCAAATACTTAAAATAAAATTTTAAATTTCATATTGATAGTCCATTCAGCAACACATCTTACATAATCACAAACATTTTCACCACTCCCTCCAGAAATATGGCATTATATACATGAAGGGTACGTGACAACATCTGACAACAGCTTTCACCTCCAGGTTTCATGGATACAATTATCATCATTAAAGGCATAGTTCTACCAACCCTCTCCCTCTTTGGTTATGACAGTCTTGATGGTACAAGTTTTCAAAGTTCCTTTTCAATCAACCAACCAATAACATACTGGTTCATGGTTTGGTCACTTCTGGGAAAAGCTTTTTAGCATTTCTGAACTCTTCACCCAGCTTTTCAGGTTTCTGGCCTTAAAGCTAGCTCAGGTAATATCTCCAAGAGTTCTTGTCTTATTTTCTGACAAGCAGGAAAAACGTCCACTGAGACTTCTAGGTCTCTGTTTGACAACACTCCCCAGGGCCCTACTATTAACAGTGCAAGTCCTGCCCTGGTTTGTCTTACCAAAAAGCAACACCTCATATTTATTCAAATTAAACTCCATCTGCCATTCCTTGGCCCACTGATCAAGTTGGACCCATTGGACCCTTAGATAAGCTCCTTCACTGTCCACTAAAGTACCAATTTTAAATAGGTGTAACAAAACTTCCTTGCTCCTATATTCTACGCCCTGACTAACGAAGGCAAGCATCCCATATGCCTTCTTTACCGCCCTGTCGACCTGTGCTGACACCTTCAGGTATCCATGGACTTGTGCACCAAGGTCCCTTTGTTCCTTAGTACTTCCTAGGGAGCTACTATTTATTGTATATCACTACCTCGCACATATCAGGATTAAATTCCATCTGCCATTGTTCTACCTAATTTACCAGCTGATCAATATTAGACTGTCGCCTGAGCCCATCCTCCTCACCATCAATACCACCACCAATTTTCGTTTAACCTGCAAACTTACAAATTGTACCTTCTATGTTCACATTCAAATTGTTAATGCACATAACAAACAGCAAGTGTCCCAGCACCAATCCCTCTGGTACACCACTCGTCATAGGGTTCCAAATACCAAAACAGCCCTCCATCTTCACCCTTTATCTTCTATTTTTAAGCCAATCTTGGATTCAATTTACCAATTTGCCTTGGATCCTATCGGCTCTTACCTTTTGGACTAACCTTCTACATGGGACCTTGCCAAAGGTGTTACTGAAGTCCATTTAAACCAAACAACTATATTTAGTCACCTTTTCAAAAAGCTCAACTAAATTGGTCAGACTGCTGACCATCCCTAATCCATCCCTGTCTTTCCAAGTACAGATTAATCCTGTCCTTCAGAACTTTTTCCCAATAATTTCCCCACCAGTAACGTCAGACAAACTAGTCTGTGATCACCCGGCCTATTTCTGTTGCCCTTCTTGAACAAAGGAGCCACATTAGCCATCCTCCAGTCACTTGGCACTTTGCCTGTGGCCACCTAAGTATTAATTATATCCCCCAGGGCCCCAGCAATCCCATAGCAGCCTGGTATACACCTCAGCAGGTCCAGGGGATTTACGCATTTGTATGCCCACCAAAACATGTAATACCTCCCCCTTATTAATCTTAATTTGTTCTAGAACCTCATCATCCCAAGTGAAATCCTAAGCTACAATATCTTTCCCCTCTTTGAATACAGATGAGAAATATTAATTTAAGACCTCATAAACATCCACTGACTCCACACACAAAGTGTCCCTTTGATTTCTAACAGGTTACACCCATTCCCTTGTAGTCCTCTTTCTCTTTATACATTTACAAAATGCATTGGGGTTCTTCTTAATCATATCGGCAAAGATATTTTGTGGCTCCTCTTTGCCCCTTCTAATTTTTTTAAAGTACCGCCTATACTCTCTATACTGTCCTGGTCACCTTTGCTCTTCAATTCCATAGCATGTGGCTGTCTTTGTGCTTGCAGCTCTCTTTTGTATATTCCAGCCACACAGTTTTCTTAACTTTTTATCCTTTTAACACTAATTCCATGTTCATATGGTTCAGTATTTCATATTACCCAGGAAAATGATACTTGATCCATTTAGAATTGATGCAAAAGCTTAACATTTTTCTTCCCAAAAAACGATTACCAATTCCATAGACCTTTCAAAGAAATTACGCTTGTTTTTTTTCCTCCCTTAGTGCATTGCTTCCAGGTCAAAGATCATCACAATAGATAGACATAGAAATGCAGTCACACAAAAGGTGCCCAATGACCAAATCTCTCACCCCAAGTAACTATGTGAATGTGTAGAAAAGAAAATTAACACACAGCTGCAGGCAGAAGTGAAGAGAATAAGAAAAAAAATCAATGACAGAGAAAAACAGAAGTGAAAATGAAAGTTTTGACAATCAAAAACCTCATTACTTTCCTCATAACAGGACAAAAGCTGCCTGTGTGAAAAAAAAGTGTGGGGGCCAGCAGGGGGCCAGGGAGCTCAAGGGGATCTCTGTAGTCTGGGATCCAGCAATGATGGGCTTTGTTTGGGTGTTGTATCAGCAGCAACCAGCACCCCCTGGCATTGTAGTTCAAAGTAGCTGCCAGCCTTTGATTAGCCAGCAGCTCTTGGCAGGTATAAATTCTATTTCTGGGGCCCTCAGTGCCAGTGAGGGAAGGCCTGCCAGTCTCTAGTTATGTGTCTGAGTAGCACTTGTTCAGTGGGCTTTCTTGAAAAGAGCAAAAGATCTCGATGACCTTCCAGCAAGATCTCAGCCACCTCCATTCAACCTAACCCTCCCTCTACTGACGCCTTGTCCCGCTTCCAACACACCCCCTCCTCCTGGTCACCACCCCAAGGCCTCCTACCCTCCCTCGACCTCTTCATCTCCAACTGCCGTCGAGACATCAATCGCCTCAACCTCTCCACCCCTCTCACCCACTCCAACCTCTCCCCCGCAGAACGTGCAGCCCTCCGCTCCAATCCCAACCTCACCATAAAACCCGCGGACAAGGGAGGCGCAGTTGTAGTATGGCGCACTGACCTCTACATCGCCGAGGCCAGACGCCACTCTCCGACACCTCCTCCTACCGCCCCCTTGATCATGACCCCACCCCTGAGCACCAAACCATCATCTCCCAAACCATCCACAACCTCATCACCTCAGGTGACCTCCCACCCACGGCCTCAAACCTCATCGTTCCCCAAACTCGCACTGCCCGCTTCTATCTCCTTCCCAAAATCCACAAACCGGAATGCCCTGGTCGACCCATTGTCTCCG